CGTCCAAATATCAGTTTTATTTTAAAATAAAAATTGCGCGTGGTTTTATCCAATTTACACACTTGTTTTGAAAGAAAAAATTATTCAATAAGATTTGAACAATTGACTAAGAATTATACAACTATTTGTTTCCTAAATTTATATTCAATTTGCACGGTTTTTAAATTAATTTGTATTTAGAATTTTTTTCATAAATAATTGACACATTTATTTGCATAAAAATCTCCAAATTTGTTACCAAAAAATATATAATTTAAATTTTGGTAAAAAAATAAAATATGATACGATAAAAATAGAATTCAAATTTTGTCTATAACGATCTTCAAATTTGTTACCAAAAAATAGGATTAAGATTTTGTTACTAAAGATTTACTTGTGTTTTTTAGAACTTTCCATTAATAGTAAGTCAAACATTATATTTAGTCAAACTTACTAAAAAATATATTTTTTTATAACAACCTTTTTATATTAGTATAGATATTATCTTCGCCTATTTGTTGCATACTTTATTATATAATTTGTTCGCACTTACTCAGTGAACATTGCATGTATGTCGCATAGTTTATCGCACAAATATATCGCACTTTATAAATTATCTTCGTTTGTTTGTCGCATAGCTTATGACATAACTGTTTGCTATTTTATCAATTATCTTTGCCTGTATGTTGCATAATTTATCACATAACGTACTTTGTGAGGTGAAAATATTAACTTATTATATCGCGGTGTAAAAAAATTATTCTGTTTTCAGATGGAAATAGTTATTTCGTCTTTAATTTTTAACTACATCTTTCAAAAAATGATAAACTTCTCATACGATTATCAAATTCCATAAACTATTTTGGTAAAAAAACATAAAAAAAAAAAAAGGTTCGTGGAAAGATTAATGTACCAATTTTGATGATTTCTTTTTGTGCACTTAGTAACTTGTTCGAGTGATATGTTTTGATGGTTTTGGTTAAGTTACTTTATTAAATTTGACATGCCAAACAATGTTATTATTATTATTATTATTTTTTTTTTAAAAAAATCAATTTAGTGGATCATAAAAATAAAAACCATTTGATAAGTTAACGAACCAATTGTGATCATATTTTTCGTCCACTAGCTCGTGGAATGTTTGATGACTTTCATAAATTACAGTACTAAATTTGATGAATGTCAAATTATTTTATAATTCAAAATAACTAGTACTAATACTCATGTATAACATGAGTGTTGAGTTAATGAATATATGTGTAAAGTTATTATAAAAACCACATCACGAAGCATAGATTTTCGCCATGTCAGCATCCGAAGCGTGAGAATCTGTCATCTATACTCAATACGTTTTGAACTAACATACAAGGAGGAATTAATGGGTAATAATAAATAGTTTACTTCTATGTTCTAACATGCATATAGACGTGGCCTATTGCCGGGCTGGCGGGCCTCAATTTCATGGCTCGTGACTGGCATGCCCATTTATATGAGTCAGTTTTGAATCGCCGACTCACCGACCCGGCGGGTTTCGAGCGGCTCCAGGCCGGTACAACTCATTAAGAAACATTATTAACAACACCACGGCCCGTCTTTTAACTTGCGGCCCGACCTAGCCCGGCCCAGACCGGCAGGACAAAATAAATAAATAAATAAATAAAAAATTGAACCGAGACCGAACCAAGACCCTAAAAGTCCGATTCAACGAACCGGCCCTTTTCCACCCTTTTTCTCCACCACTTTATCTTTTGAAATGTTCCCTGAGGTTGTGTTGGATTGGAACCCAACATGTCTATTCCCCTGACATGAATCACTCTTCACTCAATCCTTTCAATTTTTTTCTGAGGGACACGTGTCGATTTGTCATCGGCGAATCTTATTTTGTCCGTGCGCTACGTTTCGTTCTGTCATTGCTGCTGCTTTTGTGCCAAAACATCCAAATTTGCAATTTACACACTAATCTTCAGACACAGTTTTTGTTGTCCTCCTTTGGTCTGAATAATTCAGTGTGTGCAAAACGTGAGAAAGCTGTGAATTTAGGGTGAGAAATTGTGACACGGGCTTTTCCAATTAAGTCCTATGGAATTCGATGCTGCCCTAGTGACCTTGATTTCACGCACACCCGTGTGGGGTGTAGGTCCGTGTTTATGTGTAAATTAAGGGCCGATAAGGGCTGGCTGTACTGTTCTTAGGGGTAGCATCGAATAATTTCTAAATCATCCAGACAAGTTTTGATATGAGATAAAACCATTTTAATCGATTTTTTGACTAATTTTTATTTTGTTTTATATCTTCTAACTAAAAAATTCAATGCAACCCAAATTTCTTTTAATATTATCAATATAATTAAATAACACAAATCAATCACCATCGCATATCACATAAACTTTAATTCACTATATACTAACCCACATAAATTTAACTACGTATAACTTTCTAAAAATTTTCTCTTACTTTTACACCATATTAAATTTAATCATTGCACTTGAAACATTATTTAATTACACACTAAAAAAGTATCCATTCAAGCAACTCTATTTAAAGTAACTCACTTTAACCAACAAAATTCAACCAAAATTGGTTTGATTTATATCCAGTCGCACGTTCAGAAGGATAAATACATTAAAGGTAGATTCGATCCTACCCCATGGGTAGTGCCCCCATGTGGTTTTAGCCACACAATCACACACAATCACACACACACCCACATGGGTGTGTGTAAAACATGTGGCTAAAAACTCCATGGGGGCACTACCCCATGGGGTAGGATCGAATTTTCCTACATTAAAAAGAAACACATTTTAGCAGATGGTGTTGCTACGGTCGGAGTCGAACTTGTTTGACCAGATATATATTTTTTTTAATCGAAGATCAAACTCTAATTTAACCCTATTCAACACTTCTCAATGGTATTATATTATTGTTTATAATTAAACAATACATATGAATCATTCTAGCAGATCATATCATCTTTAATTCACTCACATAATTTTAACTACCATCACTTTCAATCGAATTTTTCATACTTTTACACCAAATCAACTTTAATCATTATATTTTAAATATTATTTAACACAAACTGAAAAATCCCAATCAAACTTAACACAATCAACTTATTCAAAATTAATTCTCGCTATCCAGTAAATTCAATCAAAACTAAAATAACTTATATCCAATCTCCCCCTAAACTCTTTTTCGTTTTCTTATTCTGTCCCTCAGCTTTACTATGAAGTCAACAGTTGGCTCCATAGTGGAATCAACCTTCTATTTACAACAAGTAAACCTACCATATTCTCTAATTATTTAAATAAATACTAATAATTTTACTAATATGGTATGATTTACTTGTTGTATACAGAATGTTGGCTCCACTATGGAGCCAACTGTTGGCTTCACAGCAAAACCGTTTACTTCTAAACTCTAATTATTACTTAATTATCAAGTAATTTCTTAGTAAGTACCAATAAAATTAA